TTTTTTTTTTTTTTTTTTTTTTCTTCGAGAGCACACGTTTCCGCCACACGAACCTACACAGGTATCACCGTGGAATCGATATCCCGCCTCGCACTCGCAACGATAGCCACCCGGCACGTTGGTACATTTGTTGCCCTTGCAAATATCGGCTGCGCATTCGTCGACATCTGAAAGAGAGAGAGAGAGAGAGAGAGAAAAAAAAACGTATACTCTCAAACACACGGTCGCTCCGCGAGAAACTTCCGCTCAAGCTAAGCGAGTATAAACTTTTGCGGCAAGCTTCAAAACTGGAACACAAGTAAGAGATAAGGGAGGAGAGGGTTGAAACCCCGTGTAACCGGGAATCGCGCGTTATCCCTCGGATTTTCCAGAGATGACGATACTATCTTCGCACAGAAAATTATCCGCGATAATAAAATGAATTGAAACAACAACGTGAATTACAAAAGTGAAGCTTTAGTCTCTTTATTACTTATTTCGTACGTAATCCATTTCATAGATGATTTTTTTTGAGAGAAAATAAAAATGGTCAACGTAAGATTCCATTCGTTTCGTGTGTAATTTAATATTCATTGATTTTTAAATGGCACACGCGTGATCTATTTGTGAATTTGCGTGCTATTTTAAATTTTCCATATCTGTTAAAGAGCTTTTCAGCTGATGCGAGCGGTCTCTTTTTTACAAAAAAAAAGGAAACTTTAAGATGATGCGGATGTAAGCGAGGAATGGCAATGTAAAATTTAAATTATCCTTCAAGCAGTGAAGGAGCAAAGTTGCCAGCGACAGGTATGCTCCGTTGAAAGCTTTTTGACAGGTAAGTAAACATTTTTTTGCTACATTCTTGTTTATTACGTTTATTACGTTTACTTATAAGTCAATAGTGCTAAAAAATTCATTTTGCAAAAAAGCTATAAGATTATAACAATAATGAAAGAAATATCTTAGATATTTAATAACGATAGAAACATTCATCGTTACATATTGTATATTTTAATACTTTTATAATAGTAAAAATGAATCTTTTATATTAAAAAAGTATATGTATTACCTCAACTTTCTTGTATCATTTTTACTTAAGTAATTTAATTTAATAGAAGATATGATTTTTTATCTTTCTTTTTTTAGCTTTCTTAAAGCTTAAACTAAAAATCCTCAACCTATTTTTTTATTTATTATATCTTATGTCTATTATGTAAAATTCATTATTTTTAAAATGTCTGTCGCATTTCTCTACAAATAATAAACAAATTTACAAAAAATGAAATATCGACTTTATCGACTTTTTATCGAATTATTTCGAGTTATTTTCTAAAATATAGTTATTTTTAGAGGACTTAAATATGAATTGTTCAGAATACTTTTTAACATTTTTTTATTGTTAAAAAAGATGTAAAGATCAGTCATCAATAACTCATGTGCAACACTTAAAGATACCGAATATGTTGTTATGTTGTAAAACAAATATATTCGAAATACATCAAATTAACGATAATTATGTCACTTACCTGCGCAAGTAGAATTTATCATTTGGAATCCCTCCTTACATCTGCATTCGTACGAGCCGGGATTGTTTACGCAAATTTGATCGCAGTCGTGCTGGCCCTCGCATTCGTCAATATCGCGACATGCGAAATCATCGATCTCGTCTTTCTGAAAGCCATCTTCGCACGTGCATACCGCGGTACCATTCGTCGCGACGCAGATCTGCTCGCAGCCGCCATTATGGTCTCGGCAAGGATCGAACGGTCGACAAGAACCATTCCACGATTCATGATCCAGCGGGCACTCGCAGCGGAAAGATCCCACGGTGTTAACACATACACGATCACAATCGCCGTTGTTGTTCGCGCACTCGTCGATATCGGTACAGATCCTCTCGTCCTGCGACAACTCGTAGCCGGTCGGACAAGAACAAAAATGACCACCAATGGTGTTGGTGCAATTGTGCGAGCACTCGCCGTTCCGCTCGTCACACTCGTCGACGTCTAGGCATGTAAAATTGTCGGTGTGCAGATAATGTCCTTGGTGACAAGCGCACTCATAGCCACCCAGCAAGTTCACGCAATCGTGAGAGCAATTATGAAGATTAGTCGAGCATTCGTCCACATCTACGCAGGCCCTCCGGTTATCCGGCATAAGGATGTAACCAGGCGGGCATTCGCAGCGATATCCGCCCTCGGTGTTCACGCAAATGTGCGAGCAACCGGAGTCTACATCGTTTTCCAATTCCTCGCACTCGTTGATGTCCTCGCAGGTCCTAAGATCGCGCATCAGGCGGAAACCGAGCGGGCAGGAGCAACGAAGGCTCGGGACCCCATCAGGATCTTCCACTTGATGACAGAAGTGGGAACAATTCCCGTTATCCCTTTCGCAACCGTCCACCAGAGCGCAAGTCTTGTTATCTCGCTCCACGATGTATCCCGTTGGACATTGGCATTTAAAGGCACCTACCAGGTTCACACAAGAATGCGAGCATCCCGCGTTCTCGCTTTCGCATTCGTCAATGTCATCGCATAGGGTCGGATCCTGAGAATTCCGCAGAAAGCCATCGTTGCAACTGCAATTGAAACCGCCAGGGGTGTTCAGGCATCGATGAGTGCAATTGTCCCGTAGCTCCAGGCACTCGTCGATATCCACGCAGGTAGCGTTGTCCCGCAACGATAGACGATAACCCTCGGGACATTCGCAAGCGATCGAATCATTTGCAAAGACGCAAATATCCGAGCATCCACCGTTACCGACGAGACACTCGTTCTCGCGGACGCAAAGAGTGTCGTTGTCCTGCATCAAGGACATACCCACGGGACACGAACACGTCACGTTAGCGTCATGATCATGGCAGAAATGAGAACAGCCGCCATTATTGATCGCACATCCGTCTTCTTGTACGCAAAGCCTTTGATCCTCCGCCAGGATCATACCAGATGGACAGGCACAGGTCACGTTCCCGTCCTCGTGGTAACACAAATGAGAACAACCACCGTTGTCCTGCAAACACTCGTTCTCGTATACGCACACTGCTTCGTCCTCGGACGAAAGGATCATTCCAGGCGGACAGGAGCAGGATATCTGACCGTCCTCGTAATGACAAAAATGCGAGCATTCCCCGTTATTGATGGAACACGCGTTTATCTCCACGCATGTCTTGTTGTCGTCCTTCAGCAACTCGTAATTCTCGGGACATGCACACTCGACGCCGCCTTCCGTGTTCGCACAAAGATGCGAACATCCTCCATTATCCCGAATGCACTCGTTGACGTCCTTGCAAGTTCCGCCATCTTCGCCTATTCGATATCCCATAGGACACTCACACTCGTACGTACCATTCTTGTTTATGCAAATGTGAGAGCAAGGGTTATGCGGAGTAACACACTCGTCAATATCCTCGCAAGTCCCACCATCGTCTTGCAACTCGTATCCTTCGGGACAGGTGCAATTAAAAGCGCCGTTCGTGTTTAAGCATCCGTGAGAGCAATCGACCTTCTCGAACGTACACTCGTCAATGTCCTGACAGATTCTACCATCGTCATCCAACTGAAATCCCAGAGGACACTGGCAATGGTAAGAGCCTTCGACATTCACGCAATCGTGACTGCACGCGTGAAGAGATTCTTCAGAACATTCGTCCACATCCTGACAAGTTTTCTCGTCATCCTGCAGCTCGTATCCTTCCGGGCAACCACAACGAACCGAGCCATTGTCCTGCTCGCACGTATGTGAGCAACCATGATTCTTAGCGCAAGGATCATCCAGCAGCCTCTCGCAAGTCCTAACATTCTCCTGCAGACGCCAACCGGAAGGACAATCGCAATAATAAGAGCCGTCGGTGTTAATGCAATCGTGGGAACAATTGTGATTTTCATCTTGACATTCGTCCAAGTCCTTGCAAGTATGTTCTTCTTGCGAATAGATATATCCCACGAGACAGGTACAATTATTATTCCCTCGGGACTTTTCGCATTCGTCCCGGACAGCTATGCATGTGCGATTATCCTCTCCAAGCTCCAATCCTGCCGGACAGGAGCATGAATAAGAGCCCTCATGATTACTGCACTCGTGACTGCAATCGTTTGTCTTTTCGTCTTCGCATTCATTAATGTCCTTGCAAAGCGTGTCACCGTCATCCAAAGAGTAACCCGAAGGGCACTCGCATCTGTAATCCGAATTTAACGGAACGCACGAATGCGAGCACGGGGAATTGACGCAAGGATCACTCCTCGCGCAAGTGAAACCGTCGTCCTCCAAGGACCAGTTGGAAGGACACGCGCAACGATAAGAGCCGTACGCGTTGTGGCACAAATGCGAGCACTCGTGCTCGCCCTCGAGACACTCGTCGACGTCCTGGCACCCGCCGCGATCGTCCTGTCGAAGTCCTCGAGGACATATCGGATCAGCGCAGGTGAAGCCGTCCTCGAGAAGTTTCATGTTCCGCGGACAAGCGCATCTATAACTTCCGAGGGTATTGACGCACTCGTGCGAACAATCGTGCTCCTCTTCGAGACACTCGTCCATGTCCAGGCAACTTCCTCCGTCCTCCTGCAAAATATATCCTTCTCGACAAACGCACCGGTACGTGTCCCGATCCTTCTCGCAAGCGTGACTGCAATTCGCGATTTCACACGCGTCGGAGAGAACGCAGTTCCTGCCGACGTCATCCAGGGACATGTCACTGGGACATCCACACCTGTAAGAACCCCCCTCATTGTAGCATTCGTGCGAGCATCCGTGCGTTCCTTCCGCGCACTCGTCCACATCGACGCACGTGCGCGTATCCCGCAGGATGCGATATCCCTCCGAGCAGATGCATTCGTATCCCCCGGGATAATTCTTGCATATGTGCGAGCAGTCGTGTCGATTTTCCGCGCACTCGTCCACGTCGACGCAGGACTTGCCGTCGGTATCCAAGGAGTATCCCGAGTGACAGCCACACTCGTAACCACCGTGCAGATTCACGCATCGATGTTGGCAATCGTGACTCCCTTTACTACACTCGTCTATATCGATGCAATTAAATTTACTCGCGTGCTCCAGGAGGATCTCCAGGCCGTCCGGACACGTGCAGACGAAGCCGCCGTTCAGGTTGACGCACGAGTGCGAACACGGGGCATCCCGGGCGCACTCGTCGACGTCTATGCAGGTCGTATTGTCGTTATCCGGCAGCTCGTATCCGGCCGGACAGACGCATCGTGGTCCTTCCACGGTGTCCTCGCAGGTATGAGAACAGGAGGAATCCGTCAGAGTGGCGCAGCTGCCGACCTCCTCGACACAGGTCGCATTGTCGTCTATCAGGACGAACCCCGAAGGACACTCGCATGCGTACGCGCCGACGGTGTTACGGCAAATGTGCGAGCAAAGTCCGGATGATATGTCACACTCATCCACGTCCCTGCACGTCGTACCGTCCTTCTCGAGCTGGTAACCGGCTCGACAGGCGCAACGATAACCGCCCGGCTCGTTTATGCACTCGTGCTGGCAGCCGTGAGATTCACTCTCGACGCACTCGTTTATATCTGGAAAAAAAAAAAAAAAATGTCAGCGAAATGAAATCGAGAATTAAATGTCGTGCGCAATCTCGCTTTCTAAAAATTGCCAACAGAATTCTTCTTTCCTCTTTTTACTTGAATTTTATTTCTTGCAGTTGTTTTTGTAAGATTCACAAAGTTAAAAATCGCAATAAAGGGTATTAAAATAATCGCAAATGAAAAATCTTGTTTTTGCATATATTTATATTTAAATCATCATATTCTAATATTCGCTAATAAAATATCGTAATATACTTCTTCCCTCTCTCTTTTACTTGAGTTTTATTTCTGCATTTTTTGTAAGATTCAATAAGTTAAAAGTAATTAGCATTAAAATTGCAAATAAAAAGTCTCAACATCTTTGCATAAAAATATTTATATTTGTCGATATTTAGATATCGTTCTAATTGGCTGGCAAAATATCATAATGTATTTACAATTGAGAAATTTAAATACCTCGTAATGTACTCACCAACACACTCTAGATTTTCGTTTCTCTTGAAGCCATTCTCGCACTTTGGACTTTGTGGAATTTCGGTAATTTCGTCTCTGTAATCCCCGTCATCAATGTCACCATCTTCGTCATCAGCGTCTTCATCTTCAACATCGTAATCCTCTTCTCGAAGGATTTTCGTTACCACGTGCGGATGTATCCTATTTGTGCACTTATATGATCCTATCGTGTTCTCGCATTCGATATTCTCCGCACAAATCTTCGGTGTCGCTTCACATTCATTAATATCTAAAGAAAAACAAAATAATTTAAGTTTTCCATCTCAATAAAATCTTAATAAAATCTTAAGAAAACAGGTTTTAAATAGTAGTAACGCGAAATGAAAATGATCTAGATTACGAAAAATAAGCTGCCAACCCAATTAAAAAAGGTTGTAACATATATATATATATATATATATATATATATATATAAACCCTTAGACAAAAACATTTTAATAATTTATACAAGATTGAAAATAGAAGTCGATCGATCAGAAACATAGAATGTACATTTTACCTTGACAGGTCTTCCAATCGTCCGTCAGGTAAAAGCCATCTGGACAGAGGCAAAAGACGCTTCCAGGCGTGTTCAAGCACAGATGAGAACAATTCGCATTGTTCATCGAACACTCGTCGATGTCCTCGCAAGTGTGATTATCAGCGGCTAATTTGTACCCAGGGATATCGGCGCAATTGCACTCGTAGCTACCCTCGAGATTGCGACAAGTGCCTTGACAAGGCCCGTGCCCGTTGTTCGAGAGGCATTCATTGATGTCTGAGCAATCAACAATATCATACAAGGTAATAAATTGATAAATGATCAAATATTGTAGGGGCGTATATTCCCATCGAACTAAATACTAAAAAAAATTTATATGAATCTAGAAAGTAGCTTAGTTTTTAAAGTAGGAGGGAATAAGGGCAGAGTTGAGAAGTAATCTGTTACTTGTAATTATTGCCGTTGTTGTTATTATAATTATTTTCTTGTAACAGATTAGTAATGACGTTACTTTTTTTCTTCTCGTAAATGTAATGATGACATAATTATATTTTTTTCAGTAATGAATTTAACGGTAGAATCTATGACATAGTTTTTGTAAATTCAGCGTTCAATCTTTGGCCGATATTCTTAGTGCGTTGTTATATTGAAGATCGTCTTAAAAATAGTTTTGAGATATCGTAAACTATAATAGAGTTGCATTGACATATGTAAAAACAGCATGTTATGAATGCCAGCTTGTAAACTGAAGATATAAAAGAGTAGTATAAATTTGGTATTTATGAATTTAATGACAACTACAATCTTGTTTTATTTGCATGTTGAATATTTTTAGAATCTTTCTTTTATATAGCATTTTAAAAAATAACTTTTTTAACTCTAAATAAAGATTATCGCCAACTATATAATGAAAAAAGATTAGAAGATTTTTAATAATTTTAAAGTTAAGCATTTCTAGCTTAAGTTTAATGTTAAAAAATATTTAATGTTCATTACTCGTTCTATTAATTATTTGATTTTGTTCCATAAAATTTCCCCTATCTCAAAAACTAACTTTCTAAATTTTCTGTGTTTATACGAACCTTTTTAATGTTTGCTCAGTGGGAATATTACTATTTGATAACTTAATTTACTCTTACACACACGTACAATACAAACAAGGCTTCTCTCGACAAGTCCATTTGTAAAATAATAAATTAAATTAAAACGGTAGAATAAATTACCTTCTAAAGTTACAGACATAGATTTTAAATAACAGACGTGTAAAAATGTAAAATTGAGACGGACGTGTCGACGCGCAAAGGGATACCGACAGGCTAGCAAATATTTGCCAAAGATATATTTCCTCTTGTACAATATAGGACTAACCTTGGCAAGAGCGACCATCGGTTCCCAGCTGAAAACCACGACGGCACTCGCAGGAATAAGTCCCAGGCTCGTTGCGGCAAATATCCGTGCATTTTGCGATGCCTTCTGCACACTCGTCAATATCTGAGGGAATATCGGGGAAAAGAGGAGGACGGATAATCGAATTTTAAACACTTCGCAATTGCGTGCGGTAACATCATAAAACGTTCTTACAATTTTCATTTCACGTTTCGTCACGGATGAAGATTAATAAAGTTGAGTCAGATGAAATGAATAAAATGACAAAACGCAACAAAATACATAATTGGATACTCGCTTTCTGCTAAAATATAGAAGCCCATCTTCCATGGGCATTCTTTCTTTTTTTTTTTTCTAAAGTATTTTTAGCCGGTGTTTACATGGTGTTTATTAGCATTTTATTCGCGAGTTGCATTGAGAGATCTAATGGCAACAATCGTGTATTATTGACACGATGGAATATCGCATGTTGTAACATGGGCTATGGGCTATGTTACATACTGATACAATCATCGAGCTTACAAACGCGATACGATCTGCAAACACGCAGCGTATTACAAGGGCGGGGGGGGGGGGTGGGAGGGGAGGAGGGGAGGAAGGGAGGTAGAAAAGTAGGAAACTGGTAAACGCAGAGAAATGTTCGAGTCGACAGCAGCTTTTAAACTCGATACCGCACCGATATATCGGCGCAACACAATATGCGCAATCCGACTCCGAAATAATCCGATACGTGCCAAAATCGATAATCCCATTATTAAGACGGTATTATTTACGCGGATGTTCTCGACAGCGCTTAAAAAATTATTCGTACACGTATTTCCAACGAAAATTATTTTCACCTCGCGAGCATCCCGCGACGGGGCGTGCATTATTCGTTCGTGCATTCTTGGATTCTATAAATTTGCGAATATAAAATGCGGCGGGTCGAGAAAAAAATTGGCATGTCGAGGGAAAAACGTCGAAAACAGTGAGTTTCAGCGAATCGATACGAGCGGGTAGTCAATACGAAGATGGCACGTGAATTTCGTTGAGAATATCGACGAAAGTATCCGAGTATGTCGAGTGAAGGAGAGAGAAGAGGGAACAGAGAGCAGAGAGAGAGAGAGAGAGAGAGAGAGAGAGAGAGAGAGAGAGAGAGAGAGAGAGAGAGAGAGAGAGAGAGAGAGAGAGAGAGAGAGAGAGAGGAGGAGGGAGGAGGGAGGGAGATGCGAGTTTGACTTTTCCTCAAAAGATATAAAAATGTAGAATATGCGGTGGTGAATTTGTATATGGCTGTGGGCATATGGATTACCGATACAGGACGGTCCTTTAGCTCGAAAGCCATCGAAGCAGGAGCACTTTATGCCGCTTGACGTATCCTCGCACACGTGTTCACATTCTCCCGCTCCCTGGTCGCAACGTTTCACCTTATCTGTCGACAGCTCTAGAATAGCAAATGTATTCTGCATAACGCAAACAAATCCCTATATGTTTGAAATTGAAAAGAATCATCATTGACGCGTACGTAAGGCACGAAACAAAAAAGCCGCTCGTTACTCACGTTTCATTGCGGAAAGGGTGAAAAATAATATTTTTAATTATGCTTACGATCCCGCATGCACTTTGGACGACGTCCAAGCCAGGTGCCATTGCTGCAAAAAAGTCTGTCTGTCGTCGAGTCCACGAAAACGTAGCCATCCGTGCACTCGTAAATCGCAACGAGGTATCGATTGTACGGTGACAGTACGTTCTTCCTTCTATAGAACAATGCACATCTTATTATTCCAAATATAGTAGAGGAAAGGACGGTCGTGAGATAGATATGGGGTAGTGAGATACCATGATATCTCGTACAGTTTGTTAGTTGAAGTCTAGGGACAGCCTATTACTTCGTTATTTATTCATCGTAGGATGGCTACTGGTTTATTAATATTCACTGCGTTTTTCGCATAAAAGCTAAATTTCAGTTTTGCACATACTTGCACAGAGATTTTGATAGGTCTATATACTCTTTACGTAATTTTGAAAAGTATGTTAAATATTAAAATGTTGTTGTAATTTTAATCTAGTTTGAAGGCCTTGGAATGTGATGTGACATGATGTTTTGTATCCGACATATAAAGTTATATTATATGCGGGAGAAAGTCGTGGACCACTCGCATTGCGAGTGTCACGCGAGTTTGGAGAAGTTCCATCATTCCACACACGTTGCATAATACTTATTAGTACTGTAGGAAATAATATTCTCGGAGAAAAATTAACGAAGCGAGAGAGATTCGAAACTCGGGATCTTTTTTGTTTTTACGAATCTGACACTCAGCCTGCTCAACAGTTTCTCTTCTATAACAATCTCCGAATCCTACCAACTATTTAAACCTAACGGCTTTTATATTCCTACAGTACTATGATAAAGAAATTATTTTAAAAAAGGCGTATTATATTTATTTTTAAAAGAATTCTTTTTTTCAAATAGAAATATAATTTTATAAAATGTTTTATAAAACCTGTTTGTTTTGTGGCACTTATTAATGTATGAAATCTATGAATGATTATTAATTTATAATTTTTTTTTATAAGTAAAAATGCCTTTTATGAAATTAGTTGATAGTATGCCACGATACCCATCTCACAAACCTATCCTTTTTTTCCTCTTCAGTAGATTATAAATTACATTCTGTATGTCGGATGAACTTCTATCTGTAGAATAATAATAGAATAATTGATAGAACTCTATGGCTAATAAACTTATGTCTATAAGAATTATGTCGCGTTAATATCTAATGAGTTATTTTAAGGAAACAAAATGGTATTTCACTATCCCCTTTTCTCCTCTAAATATATGAAGACGATCAATATTTGAAAGAATTCTAAGGAATTTTAAAATGATTACAAAGATTTTGTTAAAATTTATGGAAAATGTTATTTGTATCTTTTATCTCTATATATTTGCAATAATTATTTTTTTCAAAGTAATACATCTTATATTTTTATAAACATACGTATTACTACATATATGCAAATAAAAAAAAAAAATTATATATATATATATAAAATAAATGTATGTATAAATATATATATAAATGTATAGATTAATACAAATTAATATATTTTTAGAAAAATTGTGATAATGGTTTCAATTTTCAGCGCTGTTGCAGAGCGTCCTGTGTAATGGAATTAAAATGAAATATTTTTACAAGAAAAATGGCAGTATACTATGCAATCTGTTCATCTCCACTTATTTCTTAAAAATAATATTTTTCGAATAATTTTCTCGAATACATTCTTGTATTCTAGTTCGAAAATTCATCATTATTTAAAAGATTTAATTATTTAAATTTTAGTTATATTGTGTTTTAATTCCATGAGAATGCGTGATTTGTTAATAAAAATTTTAGATTTCAGATATTCTTTAAGGAAATTAGCGATTAATGAACCAAGGGAAGTAGACAGACAACGCGATGCGTCATTATCAAGGATAGTCACATGAAAAATATCATTTTTAGGATATAAATAAAGATTAATAGATTGACAACTGCGTTGGTCTTTGATTCTATATAATTTTATTTCACTCGATTAGGATACAAGCATTATATGAAAACCGCTACATTTCTCTGCTGCATCTTAACAGACATGAGAAAAATTAACATTAATTTCCTGTTTGTATGTCATCCTTCTTCGCAAGCTTTATCCAAATAAACCTTCCCACCGTTTTAAAATTTCAATCTTTTAGTTGTTTCATTTAATGCAGCTACAAACCTAGCATATTTAGCAGGGTGAGCATGCTCGATAGAAGGGGCTTTAACGAGGCTCTTTCCAAGGATCTTTTTGGCGAAGCAGCTGGTATCCAGTTGAGACACGACGGTTTCATTTAATCTTGTTGCTGTAGGTAGTCTTGAGGATTTTGTTTCCGCCGGCCTCTTCCTCTTCTTTTTCCTCTTCTTGCCCTTCTTCGTTTTTCTACGTTTCTTTAACTCGTCTATCGTCTCTAGCGCCTTAAGACGATCCTTCGCGATTTGTAGCTTGCTCCTGTCCGGGGCGATTGGTTGATCGCCGAGATAGAGATCCCAACGGACACGTCGAAATACATCTACACAGTGGACAATATAAAACGTAACGTATCAACTTAATATTTCCTACTTTGCAAATAGAGTAATATAATTGTTGCAAATTATTAATGAATAATAAACGTAAATATGCGCTCGTCAGCGCAAAATCATTAACGCATTGTACATTTATTGTACTAGCACAAATAAAATATTCATTTTACAATTATAATTAAAGGAATTTTAATTAAATTCTCGTTTCACTCACACACGCTCGCCAAGTGGACTTTAAATAGAATATTCGTTTTACCGAGCAAAAATGCTTCTAGAGGTATTCCATAGCATTATATCATGGAGGATTAATCTCATTGGACATGCATAGTGGCCCAACACGGGGACAGATACATCTTTCCCTTTTATCGTTATTGCGTGAGATTGCCATCAAATAATGAATCTTTCACGTGAGTTCCCATATCAGCTAAGTAACGCATAAAGCAGTCAACTATGGTACCTGCACTCACGTAAATCTGCCGAAATTAGTTTTCGCATCAAAAATCCGCGGCGCTTCTACTTCTCTACTTTATTTTTAACATAAAAAATAACATTTGCTCTTTTTTTTCAAATTTTTTTTTTCAAATTATTCCATAAACCGAGACTTTCGAATTTTTTTGATTCTTCGAATAATTCCGCCCGTAATCGCGTCTTTTTCCCCTCAATTATTATCTCTCGCATCGCAATAATATTTTCGGGTGTAATTTTACGGGTATTCGGGTGCTGATAATTGAATGTGTGCAAGCTCGCACACACAGCGCTTCTCTCTATATCGCACAACCGCATCGCGACGATGCATCTCTCTGAGCATCAAAGCCCATTCCAAAGCGAGAGCGGAAAGACGGAGCGGAGAGACATATGCCCGTAACGCTCTCACGCAGCGTATGACTTGGCGGCTTATCTCCATCGAGTCGAATGCGAGTTATGCCATGTCGGCGAAATCCTGTGCCGCCGATAGCGCGCGCAATGGAACGAGGCGCGTTCCCGAAGCACCGAAACGCCACTCCGTGAATTTTCCCCGTCCCGAAATTCCGCTCGGGCCATTTGTGGTCCGCGTTAAGAGAACGGCATCGGCGAGCGGAACGAGCGTCTGCGTTCGGCATCGCGTGTCACGGGATTTATAGGGGTAAGTATTCGTTACCTAACGAAATCTTCTCGTCGACGTAAATGACGGGAAAAAAATATATATGTAGATAAATATATGTGAAAGATAAGATCGATTATTTGACAATGCGAGTAACACGATAATGAGAATTAAACGAGGTGAAATAAACAGGTGACATTAAGGTCGTTGCCTCCTCTTCCGTTTTTTTCCTTTGTTTTTATTTTTAATTAAAAGAGTTCCCTCCTTCCGAGATTTCGAGAAGGAGCGTGAAGAATAGAAGACACCCTATATATCCGCAGTCTCGGGAGCGATGCCAACCCTCGGCTTAAGATATGCCGATAACTTGAGCATCGGTGAAAATTGAATCCCACGGTAAAGTCGTGTTTCCACAAATCATAGGAATGGACGTCTCGGGTAAATTGTTCTTCAAAACTTTCTAAAATATCTCCCCGCCCCTTCATCGCCTGTCTCCCCCGAAATTGCGAATTTAAATATTTTCGATTCTAACTTGGATATCAATATAACAGAATGCGATCGAGCGATATATAATCAGTATTTAATTTTGCGCGATTCTTTTATATATAATATTCCTTTATATATCTCATAAGTAGTAAAGAAAATAATATTTTTTTAATACAGATCGTATATATATATATATTTAAGATTAAATTTATCCGTGAATTATCTCGTACGTAATAATTGAACCAAACAATAAAAGGAGTTTAATTGTCATTGTCTCCAGTAATCTTCATCTCTACCGGTTGCATAAGCTTGGTCATCGAGTAAACAAACCCGCGATTTGCGTTACGGCATTAAGAGCGAGTTTGACGCCGTGAGTCCCTTTATTTCGACAGCACGAGGTCTCGCAGTAAACGGATTTGACCGTCAGTCTATCGAACACGCGCGTCGAGACTTCAGTCTAGGCACGAGGAGTTAAGCTCCCTTTCATGTGGATAATTGACTTACGTCCATCAAATTAGTATAATGCCGCATAGTCATGGACATAACGGCGACATCATCCGACATACGCATAAATGCGTACGTTCATCCAATTCGGAGATAATAATTCGGAAAAATTCGAAATACGAATACGCGTCTAAGATATCCACGTGCTTGAGAACAAATCAAATTATTCACGTTGGCGTAAACAACTTTTATTCTTTCGAATAATATACATAATAATAAGCGTCTTGTAATGTTAGGAATAAAATAGAATTTCCAATAATATTGCCGTATACAAATATCTGGGTCATCGAATGTATAATCACTGTCGTGATTCAAGATGACGATTAGTCGTGGCGGTAGATTGAAGAAATACGACGAAGTAATATTCTATGAACGAACGGACGTCGATCGCAAGACGAAGTAATGCGGCGTGATGTAGAATACGAGAATCATGGAGATCGATGTACGCCGTGGATTCTGCGGTCCGCGACCGCGATTGATCCCGCGACAAGAGACTTCTCTCTCGGGCTTTGGGATTTAGAGACGCACGTTCTCACGCGTCACAGGAGGCACAGGAGGCACAGTTGCGGTTCACACTTAAAGCAGAAGCGATATCTTACAAGGCACGCATGTTGGGGCGGCGTTGTTCCAAGTGCCGTTGGCGGTGCAAGTCGCTATCTTGTGACCTTTGAGTTTACGGCCCGGCTCGCACGAGTACACAATCTGCCTCTCCGGACCGTCCCGAAGCTCTCTCTCCCACACAAAACCCCACTGCGGCGGCTCTCGGTCGGGACAATCGCCAAGGATCCCTGAAAGATCGAGAAAAAGGAAAAATAGATTTTACGGCCCCATGTCGCAAATGTATGAGCTATAAACGAGAATCTATTTG